AAAAAAAGAAAGAAAGAAAGAAAGAAAAGAAAAAGAAAAAGAAAAAGAAAAAGAAAAAGAAGCAGCAGCTGGGATCTACATGTGATCTATAATCTGGCGATCCCCATTTCTGAGCCTCACTGCTTGCCACAGCTACGCTACATTACTTCCAAATTGGCTTATCTCCCAGACCATGGAGAAAGCAGAATGAGAACATTCTATAGAACTAAAGCTTGTTTAAAGCCTGCATTAATTTCCCTTTTAGCTACAGTTCTTCTGTGTAGCATCTGCTTATCACCCTGCTATCATTTGCTTTCCCTAAACTATAATGGTGACTTCAAAAGCAGATGCTGCTGATACAGTTCACTGGACTAACTAGAACCACTCCATTAAAAAAAAGGACCCTAAAAAAACCCAAAACAAAATAGAAAGAAGGACCAAAAATGGAAGACAAAGTGAACCTTTATAAAATCCAAACCAACACAAGCTACTGCTGTTCCTCCAAAGTAGCTGTTTGCTTTGTGTGAGTCAGTTTCTTGTGACATTTGTAGGAGACAAAGCCACCATAGGTCAGCGTAGACTGGTGATCAGGTGTGTTCCAAGTCCTTCAGGATTGAGGTTCTTCCTTACTTTTTAGCCAAGATTACAAGCTGACATGGGATATGTCTCTATCACTCACCTAAACCCTTCTTGAAAGACCATTCTCCACCGAAAAAATAACCCCATGTACAACTGCCTCAAATTTGCTTCAAAGGAAAGTGAGACAGAGATGTGATCAAAATAGATCCAGATGTTTATTGTCCATCAACAACACGCATTGTGCTTTATAGAATAAGCGTTTGCAATCCAGCATCTACAAGCATTAAAATGCCCATATGCTTCTAAGATGAGAATTCAAATCAGCTGAGGTTTAGAGGGGCAAGAGCAAAATCTAATGAATGAGAAGATTTGGGGGTGGATTGATTGACATTGTGCAACACTTTACCATGTCACTGGATTGCAGCCATTGAGTGACTGACTGGTTAGTCCCAAGTCATCTTTCAAGATGCAAAACAGGAGAATCAAAGAATTGAAAATAATTAGAACAATGTGAGTGACTGGTTCTTTGAAAGTGAGGGAACGTGCAAACATCAAAGTCCACCCAGGTCCATAACCAGGAACAGGAAAAATCACAATCTGAGCATCATCTTTGTTAGCTAAGCCCAAACCTGTGGCTAATCCCCCTCCCTTGCCTTGAGTCCCTTGAATCATACATCCTCCTATTTTACATGCATGCTTGCTGGTTAATCAAAGAAACAGTATACTACTGCTCTGCGTATATGAGCAAAATAATGGAGAGGCTGCAACAGGTTTTAAAAGCCAAGCGTAACAGTTCTTAAGAAACAAATCCCCAAAGGTTCATAAATATGATCCATTTATATACTCAGTCTACAATGAGTTGCTTGTATAAGCCACTGCTTTTACTAGATTTCTTTCCAGCAGATTATCTTTTTAAAAAAATGTTGAGTACAAGCTTCACTCACTATTTTCTGTTCCCTTCCTTTGCTGGGTGGTCTTCAGCTTCAGACACTCTTGACTGAAGCTGAAAGCTGGTCTACTGTGGCTTGCAAACCCTCAAAGAAAGGGTTTGGGTAAAGGGTTTTCACCTTTACCAACATTTGCAACTCAGTTTTTAAGGCTGTGCAAATATTCAGTTGGGAGATTTGATTTCAAGGCAATGTAGATCAACTGAACCAAATCAGAAAGTCCTTTCTAATTGCTGCATGAGAGTGGATGTCTCTGAACAGTCTGCACATAAGCCAGGATGGAAACTATGGTTTGTTCTTCAACTATAGAATGCTAGCAGGGAACCAAGCCAGAATTCTCAGTTAGCAAACCCCAGAAGGCAATTCGTGGTTAATCCAATCATTGCTGCTAGCAAGGGGAGAAAAGCTGCTGGGGAATTCTGGGAGTCGAAGTCCACTCATCTTAAAGTGGCCAAGTTTGGACAACACTGGTATGATAGGACAACTGGCTTGAATTTCCAGAAAGACAGGACCCGACACTTTAAAATATTTATTTGCAACAGATTTTGAGATAAACAAAACAGAATGGCTTGCAGCAAACTCTAGATTTTTGGAGCTTAAGATGCTAATAGCTTCCAAATCCTCAAAAATCTGTTCTGCACCAGAGAAAGGCGAAGGTTCACTCTCTTCCGTTCAACCATGGCAAACAGAATAGCAGAATGAACTCTGATCATCATGAACCTCTTTGAAAAACTCACCACTTTGGCAGAGGAGGACAAGAGCAAAGCCAAAGAGAACAGATGGGAGAAAAAAACAGATGCTTATGAAATTTGCTTTTTCCATATGCTTCCCCTCATTTAGCTCTTTATTATTTTATTATTATTATTTTAGAATGAGAGTCAATGGCATTTTCATAATTATCTGGAAATTCAGGGGCTTGAGACACTCG